AAAAAAAAAACAGGGAATACTACATTGTTAAGAAAAAGTGCCCATTGCTACCTAACAATGGAAAGGCTTGTCAGATGATACAGCACAAACTATCAACCATTCAGTCAGGTCTGCTTTCTTAAGACTGTTGTTCAGTTTTAGGTTCTTAACAAAATTAAAGGGAAGATATAGCTATTTCTTATGTGCCCTCTGCCCTGATGTATGCATCGCCTCCCATTCTCAATACTGCCCACCAGGCTGGTGCATTTGTTATCATTTATAAACTTCCATTGGCACATCATTATCACCCAAAGTGCACACTTTATGTTAGGGTTCACTCTTGTACATTCTGTGAGTTTGGACAAATGTGTCCCCCATTGTAGTATCACACAACATATTTTCATTGCCCTGAAATTCCTCTGTGCTTCATCTTTTTATCCCTTCCCATCATCAACCCTAGTTAGTAAACACTGATCTTACTGTCTCCCTGGTTTTGTCCTTTTTAGGATGTCACATGGGTAGCATGACACAATGTATAGACTGTTCTAATTCTATTAGCTCTTTTACAACTTCAATTTGTAGGTTAACTTCTCTCATGTTAGAGCTCTGTGAGTCTGGGCAGCCCAGTTAAAATCCTGAACTGTTAGTATAAGCTTGGCTCCTTCTTCCTCTGTCACTTCCCTCTCATGGTCAGTGGCATATTCTTAGATCACCATCAGCACTGTCTTGTTTCTGTTATCCTTGTGTGTGGAAAATTATCAGCATCTGGTTGATACTTCTTTTAAGATTATGTTTCCTTGTTTTCTTTGGAAAATAGTACTGGGGAGTGGTATTCAAACTGACTTGAAGAGTCATAAGCATCTTCCAAAGTGTCTGGAGGTGCCTCTTAGGGAGCAAAGTGATTCCAAGCAGGCAGAGCTCCAGATTGACTCCCAACTTGGATCAAAGCCTTTTTAATGATTAGTTTTCTCTTGGCTTTGTGGAAGAGATCTCTGAAGGAAGGAGTTATTGCTTAACAAATATTATTTAGTTCGTAGCACATGCCAGATGTTGTGATGCTTTTAAAAAATGGAAACTAAAAGTTTATGGTAATGCTTACATGTCTATTTGACTGCACAAGAATCTTCTTGGGAGATTGCACAGGAATCTGAATATTTACGGTGCTCAGGCAGTCTGACAATCAGGCTAGCTTGGATGTCACCAGATAAAACTTATATTTCTTAAACTGATAGCTTGAGTCACCTGAGGATTATTTCACTAAGATTATTATAATGCAGACTTCCAAATCAGTCACTTATGGGAAAAAGCCCTCAATATCCAAATTCATATAATATATTTAAAGAGAGTCCCTCTACCAAGTTCCCATAAATAAAGAAACCTGGGAATGTATTCTGCAGCAAGCTAGACATGACCATTTTTTTTCCACTTGCAGTTTTGAAGGCTTCCTAAGAAGCATATGTTATGCTTGGCTATGAGGCAGCAGTTTAGCTTTTGTTGTCTATACCCAACACACTTCACAGATCTCCTTTGACCTCACTGCCTCTTAACACATTTACACATTTGACTCCTACTGACAGGAATCAAGTTCCACAAGTGGCCCCAATTCCCAATACCCACCCCTTTCATCTGACACTACTTATTTGATTTGAGTTTCTAAACTGGAAAGAGACCAGGCTGAACAAAGGCTCTCTTCCCATCTCATCAGTCCAAAAATTTGAGAATTCTTCCCAGGAGTCTCTATTAGAGAACATACCAGACATGACAAGAAAATGAGCTTGCTATGCACTGGTTAAGGTAGACGATTTCTGATCATGGCATTATTTAGAATCTTGATAATAATCAATATGGTCAGCATATAGATTCTGGTTTTTGTTTGAATGTCATTTGGATTGAGATATAGCAAAATTATTCCAGGCAAAAGCATTTGATAACTTACAGCCATTGGGGTTGGTGTTCTTACTCCTATGGAACCCAAAACCTGTGCTGCAGTTTTATATCTTCTGTGTTCCCAATGGCCTGACCACTTTGGTCATCTCTGATTAGTGACTCCTGCTGAGGAACATGGCTCCCCATCCATTTCACAAGGGGGCAAAGTGAACTGGAGAAGGCTAATTGTGGATTTTGCATTCAGTCCAAGAAGAGCTGGAGCCAGGCTCAAGTTTGGGGGACTTTGAGCATGTTAATTAATCTCCTTGAATTAGTTTTCTCATTCATGGGAAGGTGTAATCCTAATTCTGTGGGCCTAAGAGCAGAGGTAAAGCATCTAGGCTGCTATATATCTCCTGCCTTGAGACCTTTCTTAAGGAAAACTTTCCAGTTTGTTCTTGTCAAATAACACCTCCTTCCCTTAGATGATTCTCACTCAATCATGCAGTACTTCCTTTTCCACTGCTTGGGGATGGCAGGCTGGTGGCGATGCTCCTAGGTTCCCAGATCTCTAACCCTTGCCCGCAGCTCAGTTCTTTCTGGTTTTATGTTGTGTGCACATTAGCTAACTACTTGTGAAGGAGGCTTGCTGTTTGTATAACAAAGCTTGCATTTCACCTATTGCTCCAGGGTAGTATTTACCGCTGACTTGCTGAGTGTCCTTCCACATTGCCCCAGATCCTGGACATTAAAGGCCTGCTTGCTTCAACTACCAGAAGTATATTCCTGCTGCTCTGTATAAGAGCAGAGCTGATTGATAGACTCTAGCGAAGACTTCCTGTTTATTCAATGCTCTAGGTTCTTTTAACAGCTCCCCATGTAAACCCATCCCATCTCTTTCCAAAATGATCTTTCAGAATGTCAGTACTACAATTCTAGTTTTTAAAAGCATTCTGTTATACAGAGTCAATTAAAAAAGGCATTTCGGGGCTGGAGAGATGGCTCAGCGGTTTTAAGAGCATTGACCGCTTTTGCAGAGGACCCGGGTTCAATCCTAGGACCCACATGGCAGTTCCAAGCCGTTCTTAACTCCAGTTCCAGGGGAATCCGAAGCCCTCTTCTGACCTCCACGGCATTGCATGACATGGGTGCACTCACATACATGCAGGCAATACACGCATACGCATATTATTAAAAAAATAATAATAAAAAAATAAATAAATAAAAATTTTTTAAAAAAGGCATTTCATCTGTGGAAGAGAAGAGTCATTCTAACAACCACCTCTGAATTTCTCAATTTTTACCATTTCTTGTAACCTTCCCATTCCAACTACTCTCCAGATGTTCCATTGTCCACTACCCCAGCTGTTCTGAGACTCTCTACTGACAGCATTTCATCCCTGTACTCTCCAGCCAGTCTCATAGGCCTCAAGCTCTAGCCAATCACCTGTGGTCAGTGCTGGAGAAATGGGTAGAAGAGTTTTGTGAAGGAAGGAGAATCTTCCTTCTCTTCTTGGAACAAATGAGCATCCTGCACTGGACTTCCTTGAAAGGACTTAATTGATTATGTCATTATACTTCATGCTCCATTCTCTCTCTCCATCTGCCGTTGCCCTGAAATTCTGTATTCCCCAGTGACTGAGCTGCAGCAGAAGGCCAAAGAAACCACAGATGGCTTACTGCGTCTGACCAGAGTCTTTGAATATTTGCCCCTGACTTTCTCAGTCCCTGTCACACACCAGGCTAAAGGCCCCTTTCCTTTTGAACTCTGTGCCTTTGAGCTTTTGCAGGCCATAATCCTGCCTGGAACAGACCTTCCATCTGTAGCAAGCCACCTACACAAGTGGCACCTTTCCTAGTCCACAACTCATCAGCCACCTGGAAGAGGGGGAAAGAGAGAGGATGGGAGGCGCTGGCTGACTTGTACACCAGACTGCCTTCCTTATGAGCTCTCTGTGACCATCCCCCTGCCATCCCCACAGGACTACCCCCACCTCTTTCTCTTTGCTCTCTTCTCTCACACACAAGCCAGTGATTTATTGTCTCCATTTAGCTCCTTTCATGCGGCACATAATAGAGGGCCTGCCACTTGTGTGATATTGAGTGCTTTTCTGTGTTGATTTGTTATTCTCCATTTGCCAGGCCTCTGGGTCAAAGAGCAAGGGGAATACTCAATTTGATGAACGTGGATGATTTTAGACCTTTTAACCCAGATAAAGTAAAAGAGAGGCTCCACCTAGGGTTTGAGGTAGAATTATTATAAGTAACCAATTTCTCTCCAGTTTCCTTTTCTCCACTCCTGAAAGTACTCCTGCGCATACCATCACACCAGTCACACTTGGGGCCTCCTGTCTCAGGGCTTGTAGAAGCACCAAGGCCAGGGGTGGATCTGTCTCTGAGTTGTGAGTGTTTGGAATGTTAGTCCTACAGCCACCATGAGTGGATGAGTAATTAATCAATTACTCAGGTGAGGTTTGGGTTTTGTTCCCTTCTGAGGAATTTGAGTACAATCCTGACAGCGCCATTTTGGCAAGTGTTTGCTAGTATTTCTCCCTTGATGGTAGTCATCCACAGCCTCCTCTAGAACCGACCCCTCCCTCGTGTGGAGCACCTCCTTCCAGAATCCCTGGACCTGTCACACTTGACTTGAATCCCTTTGTTGGCTTCCAGGGAAGGACATGGCAGCCGTGCAGAGGACCCTGATGGCTCTAGGCAGTGTTGCAGTCACCAAGGATGATGGCTGCTACCGGGGAGAGCCATCCTGGTTCCACAGGTAAGTCCTTTCCTGTTCCCAGATCATAGAGCAAGAGGGAGAGCCTGATACCCTGGCACTCCCAGAGGCTGTTTGTATGTGAAGACATAGGAGCAAGTACGTCTGAGCACACAGCAGAGTCTCACTGAGCAAGGAAGGACTGATGCTGTACTTCTGGCCAATGTCTGACTAGGGCAGAAGTTGTTAAACTTTCCGGTTAGGTCCCCATGTCCTCTGGCCCTCCCTTCCTTTTCTTGTATCTTTTCATTTTTCTTTTTTGCACACACTGAAAGTTAAATATGTCGTTTTGCAAGGCAACATCCCAGATAATACCTGTTGTCCCAATATGCTGATTAATAGTTCCCTCTCTCACTCTCAGAGCCCTGGTTTGGGTGATAAATTATATGATTTTTTCAGTTTACTAAAAGGGCCTTTCTGAGCCTTTTCCCAAAGTGTTCATTTTGGAAGTGAGAGTAGGCAGGGAGTTCAACCTGGGTTGTTTAGTGGGAGATGAAAGACATGTTTGTAGTGGATACTTGCTAATTCATTTTACTGATTTTTTTTCCCTCTTGTCCTAGAGAATTATAAAAGGACCTTGACCTGAAAATCTCTGAGATGTTGACCAATTGAAACCCTGGTTTCAGTCTCAGAATTATTAATGACCCACCACAGCCTATATGACTGAAAATCCAAATTTATTTACTATCTGGCTTTTTACCAAGATTTGGCAGGCTGTGGTCAAGATACATAAATTCCCCCTTGCAAATTCCTATGTCCCCGAGTTCCAAAATAGAAATTAATCCTTGACCTTATATAGGTAGTATGAAATAGGACAGAGGACATGTTTTGTAAGAGGTGTTAACTCTGATTTTCACAAGAATTTAAGGTATTTAAGGGTGAGAATTTAAGGATGAGAAGATGCAGACCAAGGTGGCCTAACACTGAAGAGGAAGGAGGGAAAGAAGACAAACTGGGAATGAGTTCTCCACAAAGGCAGCCACGGATTCTCCTTCCTTTTTGCTGGACATTCTAAAAAATCCTGGACTTCTGAAGGATAGGGATCTTACATGGACTTGTCAGCCACAGCTCTGAAGAGACCATAGTTCATGGTGGGCCACATCTCAGGATGGGTCACACCTCATAGTGGGCCATAGCTCTGGGTTGGGTGACGAACCCATGCCCAGGCAGGTCATGTAAGATGCTGCATCTTTCCCCCTAGTGACAAACCTGCTGATGTATTTGATGACCTGAGCAAGAGCATTTTTAACTATATTTATCTTGAGAAAGCTTTGAAAACTGTCACATTACATAATTCCATCTCACTTTTTCCATCCAGGAAGGCCCAGCAGAATCGGAGAGGATTTTCAGAGGAGCAGCTTCGCCAGGGGCAGAACGTGATAGGCCTGCAGATGGGCAGTAACAAGGGTGCGTCCCAGGCAGGCATGACTGGGTACGGCATGCCCAGGCAGATCATGTAAGATGCTGCATCGTGCCCCCTGGTAGAGAGGACGAGTGTTCCACACCAGAGTCCATGACAAAGAAATAGGTAGTCACCTTCTCACCTTCTCCTCTTTCTCAAAGCCTTCTCTCCCTGGTTTTCGCAAGTGCTGCATTTCTGCTGAGAATCCACGTTGCCTACTGCTGCCACCTTCAGTTCATTTAGAACTATGCAAAGACTCCGCTTCCTCTTGATCTCTTGTGCCCTAAAGTCTCAGTTTGTTTGATTATTTATTTATTTATTTGCCAAAATATTCTCTCCTCAACTTACAGAACATACCTAATAAACAAAGTAGTCTTGAGTCTTAAAGTGTAAGTTCATTCTTTGTCAAGGCCTTCGCAGATTGAGCCAGTCCCTTCCTTTTTAATTCAAGAGGTCTACAGGATAAAATTAGCATAAGCTATAGAAAATGGGTTAGCTATGAAGAATCTTTTGCAAGGTTATTATGTTTGTCTTGGCAAATTCTGTAGAAAATTCATAAATAGAATTTTCATGAGAGAGCTTAAAGCCATGAGTTCAGGAACACGGTTTTTGACCTACACATATTTCTTTAAGTACCTACTTTTTGCTTAAGATGTGAGACCATGTGATAAGTCAGAGCACCAGCTCTTCGGGAGCTCTTGTTCAGGTGCCCAGGAAATATCTGATAGATGCTTGGATGGACCAAGAGATGGATGGACAAATGGATGGGTGAGTGGATGGATGGAAGAATGGAAGGAAGAATAGATAGATGGATGAATGGATGGGTGAGTGGATGGATGGAAGAATGGAAGGAAGAATGGATGGATGGGTGGATGAATGGGTGAGTGGATGGGTGGAAGAATGGAAGAAAGAAGAGATGGATGGATGGATGGATAGATGAATGGATAGATGGATGAATGGATGAATGGGTGGGTAGTATTCTTGAATGATGATAGTTAAACAAGCAATTTTCATTTTCTTTGCATTAATTTTCCTCCTACAGGCCAGACCTTATATCTGATGCTGATTATATATATCTTCATCAGCCAGGAATGATACGATATTTAGCAGTTCTATAAATGTCAGTTATCAGGTCCAAATCCTTTAAACTCTTGAATATTACCCAAGATTGAGATCCATTTAACATAGATGGGTTTAAAAGAATTTTTTTCATAGAATGAAAAATTAGGATAGTGTGGAGAGTGTCAGTTCATCTTATACTTTCCTAAAAAACAAAAGTTTTATAAAAAGTGATGTATTTAGTAAGAAAAATGAGGTCTGTATTCATGTAATGAATCATCAATTAAGAAGAAAAAAGAGGTAAAATAAATGACACTATAGCATTACAATGCTCTAAACATTTGGGTGATAGTTTTCAGACTATGTTCTTTGCAGTTCTAGGCTCTCTCAGAGGTTTCTATGAGACCCTTCTTAACTACACTCTGGAGTCCTTGCAATCTTTTCTTAGTTTCTGTTGAATTGTCAGTGATGTTATCCAGGCATGGCAGTTGAATTCCTTCCTCACACCTTACATTGGAGTAACCACAAAAGAGAGAAGTTGATGGGTCCCCAAAGTGGAATAAACTTCAGAGGGTATTCCTAGAGAGATGATGGTTAGTCCCTGTGTGGAGGAGGTCTGGAAAATAGCCACTACCTGGAGGGACAGTTGGAAGAAAGCCTGGTACCTACGGTGGGAATATTTTCCCCTTTCCTTAATTTTCACTCACAGTTAGTACATGACCTCAGCAAATGAGCTCACGGATGCAGCTAGAGACCCCTGAGGGGTATAAAATGCTGCTCTAGTCAGTTGGAAGAATTATTTAGAATTATCCCAGTAAATATACTAAAAGTGACAAGGAGAAATATTGGAAAAAGCATAAAATAATAATCCATTATGAAGAAAAAAACCCATTATGGAATATTAACAAAGAAAATGAATAAGGCTTAAGAAAATAGAGGCAGAGGCTGGAGAGATGGCTCCATGGTTAAGAGCACTGACTACTCTGGCAGAGGGACCCAGGTTTGATTCTCAGCACCCACATGGTGGCTAACTCCAGTTCATATTTATAACTCCAGTTCCAGGGGAATCCAATGCCCTCTTCTGACCTACTTGGGCATTATACAACACAGGTGCACTTACATACATGCAGGCAATACACTCATATACATACAATAAAAGTGAAAAGAAAACGTTTTTTGGGAGGCTAGAAAGATAACTCAGCAGTTAAGAGAATATTTTTTAGAATAAAAAAAGAATGAAGGCAAAGAATAAATAATAAATTAGAACACTAAGGAAAGGTACTTTATATAAAGTAATATTTACAAACTGATGGTAAATACAAAAGAAATGTTAAAATTAAGAGCCAATACTGACATATTTAGACTCTTAGAAAGGGGAAAAATCAGCGGGGGAGAGAAATTTTTGAAGGAATAATATTGAAGCTTTACCAGAGTTAAAACCAAAAGTTGTTTAAAAATACTTAGAAATGTCAAAAGAAAAAAAAATCATAAAAGCCCCTAATAGGAAAATATAGTAAAATATATGACCATTGAAAGCAAAGAGAAAACTCTCAAAACCTTTTGTGATCATGTATGTGTGTATACATGTGTGTGTGTGTGTGTGTGTGTGTGTGTGTGTGTGTGTGTGTTTAGCTCAGAGGACTAACTCAGGTGTGAGGCAGACTTCTCACTGGCATGAACCTCACCAAGAAGGCTGAGCAGGCTGTCCAGCAAACCCCTGGGATCTGCCTGTTCCTGCCTTCCCAGCCTAGGAATTACAAGCACACTGCCATGCCCAGATATTTCTAATGTGAGTTCTGGGGATCCAACTAAGATCCTCATGCTTTCACAGCAAGCAGCAAGCACTTTGACAGCTGAGCTCTTTCTTCAAAGCTTTTTTTTTTTTTTTTAAAAAAAACTTATTTATTATTTTTATTTTATGCCTATGAGTGTTATGTCTGCATGTAGGTAAGTGCACCCATGTTGTGCAATGCCTGTGGAGGGCAGAAGGGGCTGTTGGATCCCTTGGAACTGGAGTTACAATAGTTGTTAGCTGCCATGGGTGCTGGGATTTGAACCTGGGTCTTCTACAAGAACAGTCAGTGTTCTTAACCCCTGAGCCATCTCTTCAGCCCCAAACCAAAGCTTTTTAAAAAACATTTTTAATTAATTCTTTGAGAATTTCATATATGCATACAACACATTTAATTTTTTTATTTTTTTATGTATATGTTTTGCCTGCTTGTATATAAGTGTACCCAATGTATGCAATGCCCACAGAGGTCAGAAGAGGGCATTGGATTCCCAAAAGGAGTTACAGGCAGTTGCTAGCAGCCATGTGGGTGCTGGGAATCCAGATCCTCTATAAGAGCAGCCAGTGCTCTTAACCACTTAGCCATCTCTCCAGCCCCCCCCTTACAGCACATTTTTATTATATTCATGCCCCATTTTTCTCTCTAAGGCCTCCCAGATCCAATTCCCCTTCCACATGTCCTTCCAAGTTCATATTCTTTTTTTTTTAATTAAAAAAAAATAACTCATGGAGTCCAATCTCAGCTGCCCATATAATCATGTTTGTAGAACCATCCACTGGAACATGGTGGACAAACCAGGAGCCATATCCTTAAAGAAAATGGACTCTCAGCAGCCATCAACTGTCAATAGCTCCTCAGCTTGGAGTAGGGGTTTGGCAGACTCACCCCACTCCATGCTAGAATGTTGACTGTTGACTGGCTTGATCTTGTGCAGTCAACCACAGCTGCTGTGTATTCATGAGTGCCACAGTTCTGTCATGTTCAAAAAGACACCGTTTCACCCTAATCCTCCCAAACCTCTGGCTCTTATAATCTTTCTGCCTTCTCTTCCAAGATAGTCCCTGGGTCTTGGGGAAAAAGGGTGTGACATAGATGTTCCATTTATAGCTGAGCACTCCACAGATATTTATTGTCTGCTCTTCGACTAGCTGTTTCAGTATTAACCACTGTCCATTGCATAAGGAAACTTCTCTGATGATGTTTGAGTGCCTCATTAATCTATGGGTACAGATACAAATTTAGACAGCAGTTTGATACTATGTCTCTTTAGCAAAATAATAGTAATAGGTTCACCCCTGGGGCCTATGAGCTCCCTAGTCATGGGTTTTTGGCCAGGTTTACAATACCAGGCATATGTTTCCTTCGGTGGAGCAGGCCTTAAATCTTATCAGAAAGTTGGTTATAACTGAAAGCTTAAAGAGTAAAAGTGTATCACATATATAAAAAAAACAATCATACTGACGTTTGAGTTCTCAACAGTAACCTTGGGAACACAAAGTAATATTTTCAATGTGCTCAAACAAATAGAACACAGGATTTTCTATATAGATGATTACTTTTACATTAAAAATGTATTTATTATTTTTGTGTTTGTGTATATGTTTGTGTGTGTGTATGTGCATGCATGCACATGTGTAAGGGAATGTGCATGCTATGGCACTTGTGGGAAGGTCAGAAGACATCCTTCAGTGTTTCATTAAGATAAATACATTGCCAGGAATATGCTATTTGACATAGGAAATGAGTAAGTTAGGAAAACTCATTCAAATACAAATGTAACAAGAAATAAGGAGAGAAAAATAGCAAAGCAAAAACCTAAAATTCTAGAAATACTGTTATAGTATGTATAGCATAGATGAAAAATGCCTAGAAAAAATAAGTGTTCCAAGAAAATTGTTTTGTTCAGAAGAAAAATAAATTTAAGAAACTGGGAGGGCCACATACCTCATACCTTTAATCCCAACACTTAGGAGGCAGAGACAACTGGATCTCTGTGAAATCAAGGTCAGCCTGGTCTACATAGCATGTTCCAGGTCAGCTGGAGTTACAAGGAGACAGTGTCTAAAAATAAACAATTGGGAAGGGCTGGTGAGATGGCTCAGCAGGTAAAAGCACGTTCTGCACAAGTTTGACAACCTGAAGTCCATCCTTGGAACCCATGCTCATGGTGGAAGGAGAGTATCAGTTCCCCAAAGCTGTCCTCTGACACACTGTGGCACACACGTGCCTGCAAACATACACACAAAGAGACACACAGACACACAGACACACACACACACACACACACACGCACACACAATACATTAAAAAGAAATTGTTTGTAAAATGTAAGTGTATTAAATCCAACTCACTTTGTGAGGATAATTTGATATTCCAGAACACAGAAAGGACAAGAAAATTACAGACTGCTCTCACTTTTGGAACATAGATATAAAAAATGTTAATCCCCAGTACTAAACAACAACAAAAATAACCACAAAGCAAAAAGCAAAAAGCTCTTTCTTCCCACTCCCCAATGCTGATACTATTTGAACC